CTGTAGGAAAATATTGTTTTGGGAATCAAATATAAATCAAGTACTTTAATTGAACTGAGATTCAAATGTAAAAATTGGAACACTTTCCTAATATATTTTGTACGTTTCTTATGTGTTGAAATTGGGAAAGAATTCCGGATTTTATTAGATACACAAAATAATTTAAAAAATTACATATTAACCTTTTAAAAAATACAGTATATTTGAGATTTGTGCTATCAATTTATTCAATGTGTTATGTTTCTTAAAAAACAAACATCACACAAAAATGCAATACATTTTATAAAAAGTTAATTAAATTATAATTTCTTAGTATTTAGGAACCTTCTGGAAAAAAAGTATATAAGCTTGTATCTTTGTTGGCTAAATCTGGGTACCTAATATAAACACAAAGAAAAAAGCAACATATCTTCTGCACAGGAAACTTGAAGCCTTTTTCCTGTGCATTTTTTACTTTGTGATAGAAAATTAAATGCTCTCTGTAATTTTCAGGACTACAAAATGAAGAGAAATGTCCAATTTAGCAAATAATTTTTGCGATACAACACTGTACACCTTTTGTGCGAGGTCTGGCTAGAAATTTTATTATACATTTCACATGAGAATCCGCCGAATTTTCCATTTTCACGTTTATAGTAATAAAAGTTAGAAAATTATTATAAATCGAAACGAAAAAGACGTCATCAAAAGACATGAAAAGTGGAATATGAGCGGAAAATACTAAATCCAAAACAATTGCTGGCGTAAAAATTGGTCGCCCGAAACAGTCTCTGGTGGTGGCTTATTCTGATTGATTGAATTTCTTCAGTTCCCGGCAGGCTTTAGCCGCCCGTGCTGTGCAATTATTCCTGATTCCAAAAATTTCATGGGAAGCCATTTCGACTGTTCCCATCTTCGTGCCACTTTAATCGGCCGAGATATACATTAATTAAAAACTCTCAAAACACTGATTTTCGCACTCAATTTTCCAAGTGGCAACAGTCTCGCATATTGAAGATAAAAATCCTTTATTTTGAAAGTCTTGCTACTGCTCGCTTTTAAATCGTAAACTTTGTTAATCAAAAATTTGTAAGTTTTACAAAATATCAAATAAAAATAACATTGCAAACATTAAACACATTATTATTATAGGAGGTCATATTCTGATGTTGAAGAAAGTATGCGATTGCATGTGACATCCGCATATGTCGAAAATTGTTTGTTAATGTCAGCATTTTAAATAAATACCTGCTGTTGGCAACTTTTTTGTTTCAGGTTAGTATAATTGACACGATATATTATCTTTTATAAATATTCAGGAAATGTTGTTATATCACGTTACATTTAAATCCTGAGGTCAGACGTATTAACCTGAAATGTCAAAACATTTTGTTTCTTGATTTGGCAACAAAAATATTTCCGAATTAGTTGTTACTGGGAAAAAATAAGCCGATTTGAAATTTTTTTATATACTCGTATTTGCCTTTCAGGGGAACACATAACTTATAAATTTTGCTTTGGTTGCAACCCGCTAGTAATATTTAAATATTGTTTCATGTCCAGTATATTTTTATATTTATATCTTCTTTTTGGCATGAATGTTAACATCTCTTATTTCTTAAAAATTAAACTTCTCTTGATTACCGTGTCTTTTATCTTGGAAATATCAAAGCAGTAACTGACACATCCGTACTCTGATTCATTTTACAATTTTTACACTGATTCAAATTTAAATATTTTGTGCGGTCGGATATAAGAAATGCATTAAAATATCATGTTTAGATGAAACATAAACTGTACGTTTAGTAACAACATGAACAAAATAACAACCTTAGGAATCTGGCACAAATAGTAAAACATATGGTACTAACATATGCTATAAAAAAACAAAAAAAAAAAAACAAAAAAAAAAAAAAAAAATCTGATGGGTTTCTGACCTTAACGGTCGTCCAAAAGGGTTTATTAAGGTGATTTATACTGTCGCTGAATTCACAGTCTACCCAGTCTGCCACAACACTCACCCATTGTTTTTGTCTTTAGCTTTATTATTAAGCATCAATTTCTCTGCAAATACGCCATATATAATTAAACACCAGAAATGTCAAAGTTTTAAAAGCCGTAAAGCAATATACATTTAAGATTCCAGATACAGCATTAAGTGTTGCCATATATTTTTCTATTTTCTTCAGTCCTGTCTTAGTTCATAATAAAAATGTTCAATTTTATTATTAAGATAGGTTTACAAAACGTTTTTTCTGTTTATTATTAATGCTTTCAAAGTTTACTTTATCTATTGAATACAGTAGAAAGTCTTTAATCCGGACTCGTTGGGACTTCGGCGATTCTGGATTAGGGGTTTTTCCGGATTATAGATCATCAATTTAAATCTGGTAAGATGCCAAGCAGAAATTATACAATTAAAAATATGAAACCGTAATTATTGAAATAAAGAGCAATTATGATAAAAATTTACAAAAAAGAAAAAGGCTTAATATTTATTTGTTTACTTTATTAAACATTTCTTTCAACGCGCGTATGCGTAAAGCATACATTACGCATAGTCGAAATTAGAAAATTGCAACCAGAAAATTATATGATGTGTATTCGTGATATTAATAATGACGAGGAAATTGACTTAAATCATATCGGTGTACTTTGAGATGAAACACTACATTTAGTAAGGAATTATAAGACGAATAAAATAAAGACATCTGCCCTGAAGATGAGGATAGTGCTGACAGATCAACTTCCAGTTCATTGCGCGCTGCGACGTTCCCCCCCACACACACACACATGCAGAGCAGCGTGAAATTGATAAACAGATTTCCGAATGGTTAGAAAAACAAAGGATATGCCTTTATCCATTTTTTGCAGCAATTCCACTTTTTGTTTAATGGACTTCGAAACATACTTTCGCTTTGTAGATCCTTTACATATTAGTAAATTTATATCGGAAATTCTATTTGACATAAACGAAAGTTCAAGCTTACTTTTATAAAATTGCTCCTGGATCCAATTCGAAGATTAAGGATCAACGCAATCTGCAACATTAACTGAATTAGGTAATTTTAGCTTAGGTTATACCGTCCGTTATACATTAAACGCGCATGCATAAACGTATTATGCGCATGCGCACACGCATATTTGCAGCTGTAAAGGTCTTACGCATGCGCAGAAAGTTTGTAGCTTTGAGGTCCGGATTATGAGTGTCTGAAATAACGACTTTTGACTGTAATTACAAACTCTGGAGACTAGTTAATAAATTATGGCATATTATTCAGAAAATTCCTAACAAGAAAATAATGTACATAGCAACACATTCAGTGTAAATTACTCCACAGATTTGTCATTAATATAATTACTTGAATGTGCTAATGTTGCAAGACTTTAAAAATTACGTCTTTATTTTTACGTAACACAATTAAATGAAATAGAATTACTTAAATGGAGAATAATGCATAAAAAAGTTTCCTGTTAATTTCTCAATTTTTTTTTTCTTGTGGGAGTTACTGGGTTAGCTGATTATGAGTTACGTATGTTATATTGTGAGTTATCAAACATCAGCATTTTAATATATTGATTCTCTGAATATTCATTGTATTTTCTATATTTCAGTAAAAGCTTTTGTTAGTATACTTTTACCTACGGAAAAGTACACAAAAGAGAGATTTCTAAAAGTAGTTTAAATAAAAAAAAAAAGCATACTCTTAAAATAATTTTCTTTATTGAATTTCACGATGCTTAGAGTACATGAAATAATAAAAACCTAGCTATCACCAAGTATTTTTAAATGCACAATAGCCAAGAAATTTCACAATACAGTAATATTTTATCAATTATTTTTTTTACCCTTTATTTAAAAGTGTATCAAAAAGTTATTCTGTATTGAGGTATCAAATTCAGTAGAGTAAAGTTGTATTTGTTTTCGAAATTGAGATTTACATACTTCACTTTCGCTATGTAGATCCTTTACATATTAGTAAATATATATCAGAAATTCTATTTGACATAATCGAAAGTTCAAGCTTACTTTTATAAAATTGCTCTAACAGTCTGTAAAAAATAATAAGCCAGATCCAATTAGAAGATTAAAGAATCAAAGCAATCTACAACATTAACTGAGACAGATAATTAGATAATTTTAACCTAGCTTATACCGTCCGTTATATATTAAACGTGCATGCATAAATGCATAATGTGTTTACACATGTGCAGAAAGTTTGTAGCTTTGAAGTCCGGATTATAGATCATTCCGGATTGTGGACGTCCGGATTAAAGACTTTATACTGTATTATGTTCTTGGCGCTTACGCTATCAAAAATTCGATTTAGCAGTAAAATCAAAAAGTATTTAAAACCTGCATATCTCTACAATTTACAGCAGAGAGTTTCGCAAGATAGATATAAAAATGTTTTATTACGTACAGTTTTGGTTCTGCTCACTTTGAAATCGTTCAGTTTGTTAATAAGAAAAATTCATTAAAGTTATAAAAAATGTGAAATAGATAACAAAACCACTTCCAAAATCAAAGTTCGGGCTTCCACGTACCCACATTTGGGTGGAGGACTACGTTATTCAAAATTTCTTTGGTGTGGGGCCTATTATTTTTTCATATTGCCAGAAACATGCTTACATTTATGCAGATTCTACATTATTTAACTACTTTAAATATAATACAGGGTGATAAAATTTGGTGGCAATGATTTTGAAAGTGATATGCCATTTATTGTGATTCAATGCAATATGCCATTTCGAGACTATCATCCATTTGGGTCTGACTTCCCTTTTTGGCAAATAATTATTAGAAGAAAAAAGTCTGAAGACACTTATGAGGAATATGTCATTGCTGTTTCGCAGCAACATCATATTCCTCATTTAAGTATGTTTCTTTTGATGATGTCAATGATACAGCAAGTCACACATAGCTTTCCAAACGGACGTCATTTAGCATCACTCAGTCGTTGCTTTTAATTATTTTCATTACTGATAGTAATGATATAGTAATATTTCAGACAAAATAATTAGAAAGAAAAGTATTTAATTCATTGCAAAATTGATAGAAAAATATACAAATAAAAAAATATACATCAGATTTTACCACATTAATTTGAGATTATACAAGATGCAATCATATGGGATGATTGCATTACTTTAAAGTACTTTAACTTAGGGAAAAAAAAATGGATAATGCCAAAAAATTAAAAAAAAAAAAAAAAAAACTTTTTTGCTCTTCTTGGATACAAAGTCCTTTCCCATTCAGTATGTGATCGAATAGTTAAATATACCTGATTGTTAAGGCAAAATTAAAGTCAAGAAATTATCCAAATAAGTATAAATATTTTTAATCATTTTTTTAAAATTTGGAACTCCTAGGTATCACAATATATTAGAGTTTGGCGCTGAAATCCTGTGACACTGGATAATTACAATTAAAATGTATTAACCGTTTGACTGCTATGTGGTGCAAAAGCGCTGCATTCATTTGTGTCGAAAACCGCAACGCAGCGCAGGTGCGCTGCGAGTTTCAGTGTGTCTTTGTTGCTCCATGGATGTGAACATAGTCTGACCTCACGCATACTTTGTAACACAAGTGCATTCTAAAATAACTAACTGTGTCGCAGTTTTCAAGACAAATGAAGGCAGCGCTTTTGTGCCGCATAGCAGTCAAACGGTTAAGTTTCACTGCAAAATGTGAAAAATGCAGTTCAAGTACATTTAGTGAAATTACAGAGGAAATGGAATGGAAGTTAAGCTATGGATTTTTAATCAAATTAAAAACAATTAGAATAAGCAAAAGGAATACAAGCCAAATAAGCATATGTAATAAATACTAATGAATATCATTTTAAATATGGCCAGAAATCTATGTAATTAAATGTAAAAATACTTTTTTATTTCTATAAGTACTTAAATTCAAAATGAAATTATATTGGATATCTCAATTCATATATCACATCTTTGTATTGCTTTCATTAAATATATTGCATAAACAACATTCTCTGTATACTTATATAAATATATATATTACATAGCATTAATTATGGCCTAGTAAACTGATATTTTTACATACAACCATCAGTCTAAAAGACAGGCTCAATTTACATAAAACATTTTTTTATCTCTGCAGCAAATTACAAATAACAAGTAAAGGAATATTGCTTTTAGTTTGAGAAATTTTTAGTTTTTTATCATATAAAATAGCATATAAGTACACTTTTGGAACATTTAAAATCTAATGTTGAATTTTGTACCATATTGCACAGCATGCAATGTCAACAAAATACCTCCTGATAACATGCACGACTCTATCTGAACAAATCTTCATATCACAAAGTTTTACATTTTCCATGTTTATATCAGTCCGGCCAAATAAACATTCAAAAGCAGTTGTTCACATTACATTAATGGAGTCATCAAGTTATACATGTTCCAGCTCAGGCTGAGAATCAATTTACCTGTTCAGTTTCAGGTTTTGTCCATTCTCAGACTCAGAATTTTGCCAGTGCAAACAAGTGTTTAAAACTTTAGCGTACGTTAAGTATCACCTTCAGATGAATGCTGAAAGAAAAAAAAAAAAAAATCATTCTAATGAATTATATGCAGAATTCTTTTGCTATATAAAAATTCTAGGTAATAACTTTTTACAGTATAATGATAAATTATAATGTGCAGTTCAGAAGTATAACTAAGTTATTATAACTTAAATTATAATAAACTTAACATATTTATGAACAAAGTAAAAAAAAAAAAAAGGTAGGTTTCAAACAGATTTGTATATCAATTTGGCAGATGTGTCTCCATTAATTTTATTAACATAATTACTTACAATATCTAAAAATATTTCTCATAAGTACTTTATCCAAAGTTTCTGAAAATATTTTAAGAAGCCACATAAATTTCAATTTTTTCAAAGTATTCAGAAAGCAAGTGCCTCTGAAGTTTAAATTTAGTTTCTGTACGTAGTGGTTAATTTCTTTCTACTAACTGATTTGCTTGTAAATGGGCACTCATGGGGCAACAATAGAGAAGGGCTTCAGGAAAATGTGGATATCTTAATGGTCTGTACGGTTCTGAAGATAACTGCATGTGGGAAGGCAGACTGAATAGTGATGACCTGCAAGCTGAAGAAGACATCACAGAGGAAAATACCAGCAGTATTATACGTTTTGAGATTTAGAAACAGTATAGAACAACAATGAGAGTCAGGATTCAGATAAAAAATAATGATGAGATTATATTAGATAAAATATAATACCAATATTAGTATTTATTCTAACTCAACTACAGGTTTTTTTTTTTTTTTCTGAGAGTTATTGATAATGTTTCCATGTATCTGTTTCATTTGTTATGTTCTTACTTCAATGGCATCTTTAAATTATTACAGAGTTTTCAATAGAAGCAGTAAAAAAATACATGAGTAATATGGAAAACCTATCTATCTAGACAAAGCCAATTTAAAATATTTTCGTTTGAATGACCCTGGGAAAATGAAAACTATATTCCATGCATGATTGATTTCAAGTAACGAAAAAAAATTTAAATTCTGGAACCCTATATAAGCACTTGAGACTTTTCATTTACACAGAATTCTGTGTTTACTTACGTAATTCTGTTATGAATTTAAGACAAATAATAACTAAACTAATAGTTTTAAGGTTGCTAACAGAATTTTTAAATTTTATTCCAATGTGCTAACATTCGTAGAACATTCTGATTCCACCCAATTGTTGTCCACTATTTTCCCCCAAACTTAAGATGCAAAAGACAATGGCCATTAATTGATATTAATAATTAATATTATTAATTATTATTTAACTTGTAATTATTGTGGTGGAATTAATTAAATTTATTACCATTTATTATTTATTAAAATAATTAAATATTAAAATTATTAAATAATTAAATTAAATAAAAAAATGTAAAGAGATAAATTAAAATTTAATAAGCGATTTTTTTTTTATATAATTTTATTGCTAAAAATAAAATTTTCTAGATCAAATTTGTACTAAAATAACTGTTGCGTTACATAAAAAAGTGCCGGAGCCTTCTCATTTAGCGCTCCGGCGCAATTTAAGCTCTGGAGATAATATAATAACTTAAATGATAATTCCAGAATGGATTAAGCATGATATAATTGGCCATAATAAAAGAAGAAGTTATGTTTGTTGTTGCGAAGCTTAGTGTCTCTAGATCCACTGTTCTGCTAAGTTTGCAAATATAAACAAATATGTCTGCTATAGTAAAAAAGCTAGGCTTAGCTACACTTAAACTTTTAAATTGTTGATAATTTTACAACTATAACATGCAGTTTAACCAAAGGCGTAAAAATCTTAACTGGAAGATAAGAACAACATAATTCAATCATTTTTAAAGCAAAAAATTCACAATTTACCAACATATAAGAATAAAAAAACTGAGCACACAAAGCCAAGTAATAGGATGAATATACGAGGGCCATCCAGGAAGTAGATTACGTTTCCGTCTGTGTCCGCTAGGGGCGGGGCTAGCGCGGCCATCTTGGGGTCAGAGCGTTGCGCAGCTCAGTCTGCATCTAGCCGTGCTAGTGAGAGGTTCGTGCTGTGCTCCGTTCAGATACTGTGACGGTTTGAAATGTCTGCGTTAATTGAAAATCCCGCGAGCTGCGAGGTGCGCTCAGTAATAAGGTTTCTGACTGCAAAAAACTGTAAACCGATAGAAATCTATCGGCAGCTTCGTGAAGTGTATGGGGACAACATTATCACTGAAGGTGGAGTGCGTCAGTGGGTCATAAGATTTCAAAATGGCCGAACCAATGTTCACGACGAAGATCGAAGTGGGAGACCCAGCATAGTGACCGCCCGAACTTCTCGAAAAAGTCGATGCTAAAGTCCGTGAAAATCGAAATTTCACAATAACGGAACTTTCTTTGAGTTTTCCACAAATTTCGCGAAGTTTGTTGCACGAAATCATCAGTGAAAAGCTTGGTTACCACAAGTTTTGTGCAAGATGGAAGGCAAGAAGAGGTAACGAAGTGGTTGAAGGCGCAGGTGGCCGAATTTTTCGACGAAGGAATTTCCAAGCTCGTACATCGCTACGATAAATGCCTTAATTTGTATGGTGACTATATAGAAAAGTAGTATTTGAGTGTGGCTTTCATCTGTATATAATAAAATTTGTTTCCTATACTTTGTTTATTTTTTTATTCCAAAACGTAATCTACTTTCTGGATAGCCCTCGTATATACAGTACAAAGTCTGTAATCCAGACTCGTCAGGACTTCGGCGATTCCGGATTAGGGTTTTTTCCGGATTATAGATCATCAATTTAAATCTGGTAAGATGGCATCCAGAAATTATACAATTAAAAATATGAAATCATAATTATTGAAATAAAGAGCAATTATGATCTAAAGGGTATCAAAATTTACAAAAAAAAAAAGATTAATATTTGTTTGTTTACTTTATTAAACATTTCTTTCAATGTAAGTTGTTGAAGTTGCTTCGTTTTATGTGATAATACTTTCTCTTTAATTCTATAAACAGACATAATTTCTTGTTCAGTTACAAAGTTCCGTTGTTCAAGTCCTGTAATTGCTGTATTGAAAATACCGACTAACTTGTCAATCGAAATTTTTTCGTTTTCAATAACCTCTCTGTCACTTTCGGTTAATCTTTGATTTATGGTAACTTGACGATTTTTTGGCGACCAATCCTGCTACGGCAACCTGGTAGTTTCTTTTTGGACGCCATTTTGTTTTCACGAAGTAAAGGCTTTTTACTATCCCTCAGCCAATAGCAGAACATCAAAAACAAAACAGGCAAATAACTCCAATGGAGAATCAAATAAGTCGGGACAAGATGAAAAATTTAATTCAGCCGGATTCTTAGAGTTGTTTAAGGTTATTAAGGAATTAGAGTTCATCTTTGGCTTTAGGCAAACATCTAAACTCATAGCAATAATTAGCAAAAACCTCAGTCAGCTACGTGCTGCAGAAACACAAATGGAGACAGTATATATTCTGTTCCTAATAATGGAAGAACTTAATGAATAAATTGCCATTAGCTCATTATCTTAAGAATTTGTATGTGTTTTGCTAGTTCTTATTGTTGTAGTGAATAATTGATAAAATAGAATTAAATTTGCTTCAATGTATGTATGTCACATAATGGACATGTAGAATATACCTCTAAGTTCAGCAGGCTCTGATACCAAATTAACCCCTCCCTTCATTACTATTCTAATATTCATTACTATTCTAAATTTGTAAGGTCTGGAAAGAGTCTCTAGCTTCCCCCCCTTAGCACACAAACTTGAATCTTACCCAATTAGATTCTCTCTTGGCTCTAGCGAAGATTATCATCCAACCCTTGTTCCTGACTATTCACCCAGCTACGGCACCTCATCGCTGACGTCTACGCATCTTTCTTCACAGAGTCACTACAGCGTATAGCTCGCTTCAACACCTTTTACGGATTTATGAAGACGACTTTTAACTTCTATGAACTCTTTTCAGTTCACCTGCTACTACAGATTTGGTACCTCACCTACCAAATCTTCTTCCGACTTCAACTCTGCTATTTAGGACTTCTGTTATGCTATTTAATGTTCGAAAAGTTACCTACATGTTACATTGGGATAGGAAGTCTTCCCAGGTGCCCGAAAAAAAATGAACTTTCTGTTCACGAAGCGATATACTCAAAATGCCTAAGAACATAATTTTAAATGTTCTAATGTACAATACTGTACCTTTTGATATTTCTTGCATCCTAGTGTTTTCCTTTCTTTATGATTTACAACTTGACCACAAATGATCAGCATTCGAAGGAGTATCAACCTAAATGTGACCACATACAGCTTCTCAATGTCAAACGGAAGCATGACTCGACTGCCCAAAAATGGATGAAGACAGTCAAACAGCTTACTTTACGAGATGTTCAGCAAGCAATTACTTTCAACACTTGTAAGTGCTGTAAAATACACTATATAACATAGATGTAAAAGTGTTGCCTTTTCATTTTATTTAATTAAAACCTCTTTTCTTCAAAAATAGTTTTTTTCTCCCATTCTTCACATACAGTACATTCAGTAATTAATTCACGTGTCCATAGACCCTTTCTTAAGAAAAAATTCAATTATCCAAATGGGTTCCATCCCCAGTTGATTCGGATAATTAAAGTTCTACTGTACCTGGAATTTTCAAGTATCTCGAATTTAGCATTTCCTAATATTTTCATACAGTGAAGCTTTTACAGTATATCATTCAGTGACATAAATAAGGATGTGAATGGAATGCAGTCACATAGCGGCCCATGAATGTCCTGCTGAATTACATTTACATATTTAAACTTAAAACACGTATAAAAATCATGTATTCGAGTAGTTTAGTGTACCAAAGAGTTTTCTTAAAAGAAAGGGGGGAAAACTTTACCATACATATTTTCTATAAAAACTATGTTCAAATAGTTTTCTTTATGAAATTTTTGACAAATATGTTTGATATTTAACAAATGTATCATTTACATTATAAAAGTTCTTATTTATGGCTTGTATATTTTGCATGTCATGTTCGTAAGCTCAGT